TTATTTTAATTAAAATACTCGATTTCTAATAAATTCTATATAAATGATTTCTTTACCATCGAAAATAATTTTAAAAAATTTTCAAATTTAAATTTAAATTTAAATTTAAATAATAATAATAATAAAAAAACTAATTTTCAAATGAATAATTCAAATAAAACTAACCGTATATGTGTATTTTTTCTTAAACCGATTACTTCAAAAAAAAATTGACCTTTGACACAGTTCTTGATTCGTGACAATTAATGACAATTAACATCAATGTAGTAGAGGAAAGATCAAATAAGAAAAAACAAAAATTAAATTTAAAAAAAAAAAAAAAAAAAAAAAATTTTTAACCGATATCTTCACTCACGAACTTAAAAACGCACAAACACACTCACGCACGACGCGACACGGTCTCGTAATAAGAAAAGTGAATCCGCGCTTCTCTCTCTCTCTCTCTCTCTCTCTCTTTTTTTTCTTTCCTTTTCTTTTCTTTAAAACTTGACAGGCGAAAAACGTATTTAAAAAAAAAAAAAAAAAAAAAAAAAAAAACGCGCGCCAAAAAACAGAAAAAAAAAAAAAAATGGAGGGAGAACAAAATATATTACTAGTTAATATATAATGTAAAAAAGAGGGGAAATGGAGATTTTTGATCACGATTTTGAATCACGACACACGTGAGCGAGCGCCCTTCAACGGTTAAAAACTGAAATAAAAATGAATGGTTTACTCGTTATGAGACAGATGACTCTGGCGGCGAGTTTCAATACTACAATACGACGACAACAACAACAATTGCATTTCTCCTCTTGTATCGTGTCCCCCAATTACCTTTGATTCGACCCCTCTTTTTCTCTATCTCTCTCTCTCGCACACACTTTGTTAAGCGGAATATAAAATACACACACACGTTAAAATTCACAAAAATTCAACAACATTTAACATCCCTTAATTATTATACCCTTAACTATTGTAACTACTAGTATGCAATTCTCCATTAATTTAAAACAAAAAAAAAAAAATAATAATAATAATAATAATTGTTTTCAATACCTCAAGTTAATTCCAATATCACTTACAGATTAATCAAGTCTATAAAAAAAAAATTTTCCACTCGGAAAATCAATGGAAAAATCTCACGAATTTTCACGACTCACACTTTCACACAAGTAAAATATTTTAATCAAAGCGTACCTAATCCAAGAAATTTTAAACTACTCGAATTTAAATGTAATGAGAGACAAAACAACAACAACAACAACAACAGCAACAGCAACTCACTCTACAAACAAGTCTAATTTATTTAACAAAAAAAAAAAAAGCCAAAGGTTACACAAAGGTTAGTTTTTCCGTTAAAATAAAACTAAAAAACGAACTTTTTTAAAAAGTCCGGTTTTTTTTAGGTGCACAATGAATACACATTCTTTCAACATAATTAAAAAAAAAAAAAAAAAAAAAAAAACCAACGAATTTTATTACCTAGAAACTGGTATTACGGGAATATGCAATAACAAAAATCTCCCAAAAAAAAAAAAAATAAAAAATAAATTTATTTGGTTGCAAGGGGCTGGACTTTATTTCGGCTTAAACTCCTCCTACAGGAATAAATCCCTTATTAAATATTCACCCTATTTCGTCTACACATTTGATGATTCTCCCTGCTCCCCCTTCCCCCCCCCTATCATCCATACATCCATAATGACAAAAGCGAATTTTTTTTTTTTTTTTTTTTTTCCTTTTTCCATTCTTTTCTTTTCTTTTTTTATTCCTTTGGGGGGGCACGTTGCAAAAGGGGGGAAGAATACAACAAATCAAAATTACCCTCAAGTCTATGCAGCAACTCTCTCTTTTCAACCACTTTTATTTTCATCATCCCCAACCAAAAGCAGTCATGTCTTTAAATTTTCATTTCAAAAATGGACGCAGCAACACAATTTAAAGGTATTTAAACGAATATTATAAACATAAAACAATTTTAGGAAATTTTACATAACACATCCATAATCTCTCACATTTTGACTCATTTATCGATATTAATTAAACGACGTGGCAAGAGAAACGTTAACAAAAAAAAAAAAAAAAAAAAAAAAAACAAATTTTTTCCTTCAATTTCCTCACAAACTTGACCGAGAAGTGCATGAAGAAATGCGGACGACGCGTGCGTACCTGAATGGCAACAAAACAAACGTAGTACCCCCAAAAAAAAAAAAACTATAAATTTTTTTTTTTTTTTTTTTTTTCCCATCCAAAATAAGGTATGCAACAAGTTTTTTTGAAACAACCTGTTTTCCACGTGGATTTTTTTTTTTTTTTCAATTTCTACGCAAAATAAACGATACGCGCGTTTCTATTAGAGAGAGAGAGAGAGACAGAGAGTATTTATACAACGCAATTATCATAAGCTCAATAAATTTTCAAATGGGAAAAAAGAAAAACTATAGCGAGGAGAAAACTTTTTACACTATTACATCTTTGGAATTTTTTTTTTTTTTTTTTTTCCCTAATATAACAACAATTTTATCGAGTTTAATTAATTGTCTAACCTTGATATAAAATTACATCATTTTTCCATAAATTCTCTATGAGCCAATGACCTCAAGTCTACTTCTTGCCGCTTATGTATTTTATTTTATTTTTTTATGGCATCGTCTTAATCGAGCTCAGGTTTGGTTACAGTTACATTTAAATTTCCTTAAAAAATATTTAAAATAACGCTTTAGCAACGTAAACGGTTTCTCAACGAGTTTAAATTTCGGCGCGAAAAAATACAACTCGACGTTTTTTAAATGTTTTCAATCCAGAGCAACCATTCAAAGTTTTTATTGGAGAGAGAGAGAGAGAGAGAAAAAATTAAATAAAAACACGTGCAAAGCTTTTTTCCACTTACCTCCAGCCATTTCCCAGTTGTTCGGTCGGCGAATCTGAATCCCCACCACCAGAACCCCTGAAACACATACAGGATTACGTACACGAATGTTAGGAAAACTCTATTTTAAATAAAATAATAATAATAAAACTAAAATCGAAATTTTACTGATTGGACAAGTCTCACTGATATTAATTTTATTAATTTGCCCACCCCCTCCCTCCCTCCCTTAACGTTTAACTTCATCAAGCTAAGGATCATCACAAGGTACATAAGGATACAAAAAGGTTAGGTTTACTTTTAACCACAATAACTTATCAATAACGTCAACCGATGACGTCAGAAAACAATCACACGATCATTCGTTAGAATTTAGTTATACTTATTTAAAAAAACTAAGCCATTTTTTACATGTTCGAAACTATATAAGCTATTTTATTCCCAAGCATTTAAAAGCAAACCGTGGGGAGGCATGCGCGCCATTTAAATAATTTTTTCCCCCCAACTGAATTCGTACGT